TTTCCTCTGTAGTGGAATATATATGGGGTCGAGTTCAATATGTTTATTAATAGCCTGCTTCGTGGAGTGCCATGCTTCCAGGAATTCTTGTGCTTGTCTCTGCCTAGCCTGTCCCAGGATCTTTGTGTTGTCCCAGTCAAAGTTGTGGTTCTCCTTGTCCATGTGGATTGAGATGAGTGAGTATTGGTTGTGTCTTTTTGTAGCCAGTTGGTGTTCATGTACTCTTGTTGTTAGTTTCCTTCCTGTTTGTCTGATGTAGTGTTTCTCACAGTCTCTGCAGGGGATCTCGTAGTTGACATTGGTCCTGTCCATGGTGGGGAGTGAGTCTTTAGTTCGGGTGAGCACTTGTCGTAGGGTTGATGTGGGTTTGTGTGCCACTCTGATGCCCAGCGGTCGTAGAAGTCTTGTGGTGAGTTCTGACGTGTTCCTGATGTAGGGTAGTGTGATGAGTGTGTCGGGGCGTGTAGAATCTTTCTGCTGCTGTTACTGTAGGCATCTCCTGACCCAGTTCTTTGGATATCCATTATCCTTGAACACTTGGAAGAGGTATTCCTCCTCCTCTTGGCGTAGTTCCATGTTGCTGCAGTGTGTTGTTGCCCCTCACCTGAATAAAATTCACCAGAGAGGAGGAGAAGAACAAACAACTCCCATTCCTGGACATCATGGTCGAGCGCAAGACAAATGGGGAACTGCAAATGAAAGTACACCGTAAAGCCACACACACAGACCAGGTATTGAACTTCAATAGTAACCATCCCAGCACACACAAACGAAGCTGCGTGCGAACATTATTTAAAAGGGCAACAACACACTGCAGCAGCACGGACCTACGCCAAGAGGAGGAGGAGTACCTCTTCCAAGTGTTCAAGGATAATGGATATCCAAAGAACTGGGTCAGGAGATGCCTACAGAAACTGCAGCAGAAAGATTCTACACGCCCCGACACACTCATCACAATACCCTACATCAGGAACACGTCAGAACTCACCACAAGACTTCTATGACCGCTGGGCATCAGAGTGGCACACGAACCCACATCAACCCTGCGACAAGTGCTCACCTGAACTAAAGACCCACTCCCCACCATGGACTGGACCAATGTCATCTACAAGATCTCCTGCAGAGACTGCAAGAAACATTAGATCGGACAAACAGGAAGGAAACTAACAACAAGAGTACATGAACACCCAACTGGCTACAAAAAGACACGACCAATACTCACTCATCTCAATCCACATGGACACGGAGAACCACGACTTCGAATGGGACAACACCAAGATCCTGGGACAGGCTAGGCAGAGACAAGCACAAGAATGCCTGGAAGCATGGCACTCCACGAAGCAGGCTATTAATAAACATATTGAACTTGACCCCATATACATTCCACTACAGAGGAAACGCGGAAGTGAGGCAATCCATCGCAACGGACCCCAGAGTTTAAAAACCAGGCGGGAAAACACACCGACGCTTCATCAGAGGCTGCACTGAGGATGTTACCCAGCACGGTAAGGAAACATCTGCGGAAAAACAAACCAGCTCCGGATATTTATAGTTAGGGACTTAAAGTAATTAATATCGGTAAATAATATGGATTAGAGAAATCTAAGCGAGTGAAACCTTTCCAGAACCTCAGGATCTGATAAATACCCCAGGTTGATAGGTGTTTGCTCTTCTGGGGAACCTGGGAAATATGGGGATAGGGTAGAAAAGTGGAATTAAGGCTAATAATCAGAATGGCACAGGAGATCAGAGGGTTAACGCAGTCTACTGCGACTTCGACATGTTATGTCCTAATGCGAGATAAAATTAAATCTGAAGTAGATAGATATCTTGTTCACTAACGACGCATTCACAACACTCTAGGGTAAAGAACTGTAAAGAATCACAAGTGAAGACGTTTCTCCACATCTCAGTCCTGTATGATCTCCTCCTTATCTGTGCCCTCTGTTCAAGATCCCCTGCAGAGAAAACTGCGCCTCAGTATCTACCCTGTCAGCTTCACCAGAATCTTACATGATATCACCTCTCCTTTATTGACCTGCATAAATTGTTGGTCCAGTTTACTTGGCCTTCATCATAGGACAACTAGGATAAGTCCAAGTGAACCTTAGTTCTACCACCTCCAAAGCAAATACGTTCCTTCAAAATATTTTGCTGGAAAGGCTGGGACTTTCTTCACTGGAGCATAGGAGGTTGAGGGGTGACCTGATAGAGGTTTATAAAATCATGAGAGGCATAGATAAGGTTGAATGACAAGGCTCTTTTCCCTGGGGTGGAGGAGTTCAGAA